TTGTTTTGGAATTTTTTAAAAAATTACAAAATTTAAAAACTTGAATCAAAAATATCAAAAAAACTCAAAAATAATTGTAATTCAAATTAAAAGTTTCCCTTTCTTTATTTTAATTAACATCTCATAATTTATAATCAGTTTACCTATCGAGATAATGTCGAGGCGTCGGTATTATATCTTCATGCAGCAAATTATAAAAGTACATAAGCTCAGCATAAATGAACATGCTCAAAAAGCATTTTTAATGACTTTCCAACAATTTTTTATTATGGATATTCAGTAAACTATGATAGATTCTCATTTTTAATTTTTTATAGACGAGATGTGAGAAAAATTAAAGCAGAGAAGTGAAGTTATTGTGGCAAAATATCATAAAACGTTAATGACGATGAGTCTTTGTCGAGAATTTCGTCAGATTTTTATAATTTTTGATTTAATCCTTAAAACAGTTTTGAATATTTAATATCATTTTTTTAAAAAGTTAAATATTCAAAATTCATATTTCAAATATTTTGAACTTTTTATATTTTTAAAAATTGTAAAAAATTTAAAAATCATCATTAGGGACTCAAAAAAATAAAATTTAAAACTCCAAAATTTCCAAAATTTTCATAAATCTTCCAAATAAACAAAGAAGAGAAAATTAAATTAAAAATTATAGTTCACATTAAAAACAGTATCAATAATCATTTTAGTAATTTATGACTCAAATTCATCCAAGCTTTGTTAAAAGCAAACAACAGCAACATGAATGCATAAAAAATAATTTAAACTTATCTCATAATTATGTTATGACAGTCGCTGCATTTATATTCAAATTATCCTCAATTTCTATGTCAATGTTAAAAGCTCTTGTTCTGATAAAAAGGGAATACAAAGAAGAAAAATCTACATAATCATGCTGGTACACGTTCAGTTATCACTTAATTTTCTCATCATTTTAAATTGGTACGTGGATGATTTTACATTGCGTCTATTTTGAAGGACATTTTGGAAGGATTTGGGTTCTGTTTATTTTCTTATTTGAATAATTATGAATCTTATTGAGTGTTGAAAGTCTCATGCCCCGCTCAGCTGCTTGTTAAGTTTTTAAGACAAAATGTGAACAACCCCTTATTAAAGTGATTATTAAAAATCATTGACACTTCAAGGTAACATTCAGTAGTGTAGCTGAAAAAGGGCTTGAAATGAGGAGCAGGTGATGAAGGGAAATCTAAAATGCCTTAATACTACCTTTTGTCATAGCATAAAGGCAGCAGTTTAACCAATAATACCAATAACAACTTCTTTGTAATGCTCACATACAGTTGGAGCTACAAAAACTTTCTTCAACCCTCAAAAATGCACTCTAAACTGCCATCAAGCACCTCGCATTTTTGATTCAACACCTCAATTCCTTCACTCGTGACACACCATCATGATTTATGAAAATGATATAATTAATTTTTTATGAGTAACACAACGGTGTCTGTCCACGATTCATTACATTCAATTACTTCTCAACTACGAGCTATAAAAAAAGTGAACGACACAGTTCACAAGAAGACATGAATGAACAAAGTTTATCAGGATTAATTAAATTATGTATTCATTAATTTGGAACTTTCGGTGGGTTAATTTAATTTTCCGTTTTGTCAAGTATGAGCATGAAAGTGCTGTATGATATTTGTTATTCTAATAACCGTAGACAAGAGAAACCAGCATCGTAGGTATAAAAAAATTCATATAAATAAATGAAATATTTCAAGACGAAAATTCATGTTTGTGCTTTCATCTGAATTGTAATTAAACTTAACGAACATTTAACATGAAAGATTATGAGAATAAAAGTTTTTCTTTAAAAAATTCCCTGCTGTATTCCTATTAAAATTATCGAAGAAGTTTTATAAACTTTTTGACTGCTTTCCAATTAAAATACAAGACTCGTTAAGATTAAGAAGTTTATCTTGTATTAAAAAAGTTGGATAAAATGTTCTTAATGATAATGAAATTGTAGGTTAAGTATGGCAGAGATTTTGAAGTGGATTATGAGATTTTGTATTGATTTTGTAAGTATTAGACTAGATTTTTTATTACAAAGTCTTTATACCCGAATGACACAAGTCGGTTAATCGATCAGCATTTTGGCACTAAGCCGGTGTGACTCTGAGGTGTGGCTGGATTTAAATTAAAGCCAGTACCATATTCTATTAACTGACTTGTGCTATTCGGGATAGCTTGATATTAGGAGATATTACGGGCTGTTCAAAAATTACGTCTGCTTGTCAATTTTCAATTTCACAATTGATTTTCCACCCAATCAGTCTCCATCCTCACTCCGCTCCTCCATCCATCTCATTATGTCAATGCATAGAAACCTTTAAGCAACACTTCACAGACATTCCTACAACAACAACAAAAGTTTCATCACTCAAAGCATTTTTACAAAATTAACCCAGACACATTTGATGGCAAACTCAAAATAATTTACATGACATCCATATCTCATATCTTCTTGAAGTCTTTTTTTTCAGTCTATCAGACACATTACATACCACACGGGTTTCGTGAGTGTAAAAAATTTACAGAAAAATGCTGTTAAACTTTTTAATGATTCTTGGATTCTTAACAGCTGCTACAGAAGATTTCGTTATTTTCAGGACTTTTATGTCTCAACTGATTCTACTTTTAAGAATTTTTTTATGCATCTAGCAATGCATCTGTGAAATATTAAGCAACCGTCAGAATTTATACGATCTCAGAAACTTCACTGGGTCGCATACTTGAATTATTTTAATGAGCATTTTCAATTGAAATTTATTGCAGCAGTCATCAAAAGTTCAAGATGCTTGTAGAATTTAGTTTTCTTCTGCTTTGAAGGTTAGACGTCATAAATGACGAGAATTCTACTCAATCGACCCTACTTTTTCAGGGCTACGCTACAGAAGCTTTGCAGATCAGCGTTCACACTGTCTATTTATATTAAGCGAACCTTAAATTATTTTCTATTCTTCCCTGTTCACAGTTACTCTCTTTTTGTATCAAGTGTAGGACATTGATTCTAGAATGATGTTTCAGAAATCCTCAATAACCAGCCCTCAGTTACACGTCACTGATGTTGAAGCTAATGTTAAAACACCTCAATCTTATCTACAGGCTATTAATTATCTCCTCATAATTTAACGTCATCAGCAAACAGCTTGCTTTCCTAATAATCATACCGATTTCCACTTTAACAACGTTGTAATAAAATGACACTATAAATAACAAGCACGTTATTTTTTTCCCACAAGACATAATCTTCACTCAGATTACGGATAAAATTCTGAAAGATTAGGTTCGGTCAACTCTTCTTCCTGAATATTCATATATCATATTCAATTTACTTAAAACAAACTTCTCCGTCTGTAATTTCATTTTGATTTTCTGTTTTCTTCTATTTTTATTAAATTTATTTATTGTAAGTCGCAAAATGATATCTGCTTCCATTATGTCTTGTTGATCAGTTGAAGATTTCTCTTGTAAGAGATTTATTAGATTGTTGAAGAATAGGCTGGTTTCTAAAGCTAGATAGGTAGGGTGACCATCTGCGTAGTTTTACAACGGACAGTCCTGTATTTCAAAACCCTGTCCTGTATAAATTTGAAAATTTTGTTCCAGGTCCTGTATTTTTTTCACGAAAATTTCCGTTAATTTTCAAATTTTCCTTTGTGTCCTGTATTTTTTAGGAAATTTATCAAATGTCCTGTGTTTTCATAAAAATTTGATGGTCACCTTATAGATAGGGTCATTTACCTTAGGCACAATCAAATTTGGTTTGAATCCTTAAGTGTTGTTCAATTTTAAGGTAGGATGTACCTGGTAGCATTAGAAACCAAGCCCTAGATTAAGATGTTTAGAAGTTTTGATGAAAATCAAGATTTTCAATTTTTTTAAAGCTTAAAGTTTGAATTTTTTAAAATAATTTAACGACCTTTTAATTTTTGAATTTCAATTCAACATTAAAAAAAATCAGACAAAATTTCCACAAAGACATTCAATTCTGCTTCAATTTATTCGACTAAACAGAAACTCCTCTGCTTCCACATCCTCTTCAATGAGATTTCTTCTCCATATCATGTAATACTGTAACTAGAAATTTATATAATAATATTTTTTGTCAGACATTATCAATCATTTTTGTAACAATGTTATCATTCTCGTCTCTAGTTCTGCTCTACATTCAACAATTTCACAATTTGAGTGAGAATTTTTTTTCAGCTATCAAAATAATTTTGCTTCTGCTTTGTCTACCGGAAAATTATTGTGTCTTTATCTGATATCCTTTTTTAACTTCCTTTATGTAGTTACGTTTATGTGATTTAATAAGTTTTTTGGATGCGGATTTATGTATTGTTGTCTAATTTATTGTAACATATGAATTGGACACTTTAAGAGATATGTAAATTTAACGGTTCATTGGTTTTGTTCGATTATATTTTCTTTGTCTTGTTTTCGGCAACAAAATGTCGTGTAAAAAAGCTAAAATTTATTCAGCATGAAAACAATCACATACTTTTAAGGGGAAAAAAATTCAAATTTTTTGAGCGGCGTCCGTGAGGAGGTTTTTGAGGTTTTGTATAAAAGCTTAATTTTGAGGGTCTTTTTTGTGGTTTAAATTTTGAGGTTAAATGGGTTCAAAATTGTGATTATTTATTTTTTTTGGGGGTGCTTGAATATTTTTTATGTTTTTAATTTTGAAGTTATTTTTCTCAATTTTAATAATGTCCCTAAGATAAAGATTTCTAAAGTCTGATGATTTATTCCCAACTTAAGGGGTCGACCTATTCATTTACCATAATAAGGGTCGTTCTCTTATAACGTCTGAAATTAACGGTCATTTTTAAAAAAGAACAATGAATTTCACGGAATTTCTATTGTTTTTTTTGACACCCCCCTCCCCCCCCTTCTCCGAAAGTCATAAAAAAAAATTATTGACCCTCGTCTCCTCTTTGGTAACAAAATATTAGTGGGATGGGGAGGTCTGAAAATCAAGAATTATGTGTCACTCTTTATTGCATAGAAACAATCATACAACTGCAGGAACCCACTACTATGGGTCCTCGATTCGAGGAGATTCGATAATAAATAATTGATCATCAATAACAAACAACTCCCCAAATTTTTCAATTATTTTCAAGAGCTTCAAAACAAGTTTTAAACAGTCTTTATTAATCAACTGAATTTTATTCCAATTTTTTCACATGATCCACAAAACTTGACACCTTTCTAACCTCAAAAATTCACCAATCACTCCATTCTACCGCACTTTATATTTATTTCACAAAAAAAAAAATAATAATCATAAAATTAAATTGACCTTTCTTCATCCATAAATTGCACTTGTTATTTTGACAAGGACCTATCAAAATTTTTATGCTACAGCTAGCTACATATCTCTTGACCTATCTAGATTTTATCCACCATTTTTTATTATTTATTTTGCTCTGTTTTTGCAGCTGCACGTGCTGAACTTATTGTTTTCTCTTTTCGTGCCCCCGAAAATAAAATAATTCAAATATTGCAAAAATATTTTGATCAAAAATTTATTTTCATTGCATTGAAATCAATTTATGTACGCGTATAACCTATTCAGCATGTATCAATCAATCTATTTACTTTTTAAGTTTATAAAAATAATTTTATTTATTCTCTAATATTTGTTTGCGTTTGCAAATAAGTAGGTTTTACAGCTTGCTCATTTTTTTGTGAGAAACTTAATAATTTTAAGGATTTTTTTTTATTATTTTGAAAGAGGAAAAAGTTAGAATTTTAATTAAAAGTCACATTTTTAAAAGATCATCAACATCTTAATTGCTAAAAAAGCACTGAATTTTTCATATTTTTTTTTTTTCATTCTCATTTTGCATTGTAATTTCTTTCTTTTTAACGCTAATAAAGCAAGGAATGTTAATATATCGTATTCATTTCCTCATAGTCATCATTCTTTACCTTAGTTTGGAGAGGATTAGACACTTTGTTGAAGGAATTTTATGTTTTGATGTTAATTGAATTAAAGTTTTAATCAAATACTAAAGTTCAAATCCTATTAAATACTCAGTTTCTCGAACTTCTAAATACAAACTTTTCACTTTTTTTTATCAATTTTCCAATTTAATTAATTTGCTGTGGTCTAATTTTCATTGAGAAGATGGGGGGGGTTGTGTAATTTAAACACAATCAATACCTCCTCTTTGACTACGCCTCAGTCACCAAGATTAAAAGAAAAGTTAAGGATTATATAATAAATATTAAATGACATAATAAAATCTCCAAACCAACAAAGTGTCTAGCCCCCCCCCCCCCCCCCTCTCCCCACCCCAACCTCTTAATCATTAAAATCTTTTTAATTTTTCTTATTCTCTCGTTTTATTCACATGGAAATTTCGTTGCTACTTAGAATTCAATTAAGTAAGTTTTGTGAAGAACTTGGAAGCATTTTACGAATGATTAAAGAAGTAAAAAAAAAATCCATTTCAACAATAAAACGAAGAAAAACATGTCAACATCAAGAAGAATCTTTAAAAAATTTCCGCTCAAAATCTTTCTTATTTGAAAAAGCTTGTTATGTATTTATTTACATATATCCTATCAAGATCACATTAAGAGATTTTCTTTTTTTTAAATTGAGGAAATTATTTGCATGAATAATAAAATGTTTTTTACTTTGTATGCCTGTGTATGTGAATGTATGAATGAAATAGCAAAAAAAAATATATTTATTTATCTATTTTATCATAAACATTCATAATATTCTATTCAACTAGAAAAAATTGACATTTTGCGAGAGCGGAAAATGAATAAAAAAAAATTCAATGACTCGATTTGATGACATCTGTTTGGTTTATGAATTAGATTATATTTTATAAACTACTGGGCTTGTTTATGAATGCGGCTTTAAGTTCCTTGGAAAGATTTTTTTTTTGGTTTTTGGAATTTTAATGACGATTTTGTTTTGTAGAAATCAAATAAAATCTCAAAATATGCCAAAAAGACCACTAAAAGATTATTAGCAACTTAAGTTGAAATTTTGTCAAATTTGTTCAATAAAGTTCAATAAAAAAAATTAATTCTCAGTACAGAAGAAAAAGTTCGAATCCTTAAGAATTTACTAAAATTATATTATTCACAAAACCCTCTTTTTTTCCCAAATTAAAATCACTTTTTGATTTTAAAAATTAAATCACCTCAAACTTTCTTTTAAATTCACATTTTAAATTTTTTATAGGATCAGAATATTTCCAAATCGACAAAATCTGCACAATTTTATCACAAAAATCTCCTCAATTCCATCAAAACCCAGTCAAAATTCTTCCAAGGAACAAATGTTCTGTATAAATGTTTCGATATTTTAAGCGTAAATTGAATAATAAAATTCTACGATTGCTTCTTTTTATTTCGTGCATCGCGTCGTGTTGCCTCCGTTGGCTGTTGCAATGACAATTCACGAAACTGAATCTGTAGGGCGAGACATAAAGCACAAAGAAGATTAAATTACGAAGATTGAAAATTGAACGGGTGTGAAAACTTACAAGTTCTTCATCGTCAGGAACTCTCGAAAGAAAATCAAGAACTTCATTGTTTGTCACAGCATGCGGTCTTATTATTCTCTTTGAAAATTTTATGATACCCCATGCCATTAGAAGCACTCGAATTGGTATAAAATGCAATACAATCATTACTGCAAAAAGGAGCATAGCAGCAAGCCAACTTAGTTCTGGGACGGAAAAATTAAAGGTACTGAAATGACACAAAAGAAAAAGAGTAAAGGGATAAATTAAGAATGCTGACGATGATGAATAAAATATTATTTTTCGTCTTCATGGATGCACCTCCTTCTTAATTTATGATAACTATTTTTATGTCTTTAATGAGCCTCTTTATATCTTTCATCAGCAATTAAAGTTTAGGTCAGTGATGTACAACATTTTTTAAGCCATGGCACCTTGATGGTAAGCCATGACCAAAACCGCACACAACATACGGTTCGTGAGATATCTTAAAAAAATTTGCGGCACAAAGGTTGGCCATTACTGGTTTAGGACTTTTATTGAAGTGGAGAGTTTTTACAGAACTTTAATTGAGTGATTCCTTTTAAACTGACTTTTTGGGAGCAATTTTGGTTAAATGCAGTGGTTCTCAATCTTTTTAGACCGTGAAACAGAAAACTGGAGAAAACCATTTATTTGGGGTGTCACCATACAGTTCATGACACTTAAAGGTTCTGCGATTGAAAGTTTTGATGACACAGAAGAGTGTCGTGGAGAATAGTTTGAGAAGCACTGGCTAAAGGGCTAAAGGGGAGGGGGAAGTTAAATTTTTCTATGTTTGCTGGACTTCTAGCTACGTTCTTGCTAAAATGAACCTAGCATCATGTTTAATATGCAGAACCAAGTAAGTCAACCAAAAATCAGCACTCAAAAAATTATTAAAACTCAATAAAATAAAATTCTGAACCAAAAAGATTCCCACCATTCATTATACATGACCTACAAAAAATTATCAATCTAATTTCCATTTTTCACATTTTCCTTACTTCTTAACACTCTCTCCTAATGATGCTAAAAAGCCAATTGTATTCTGTACTGTTTGTGAAACTTCTTGTATTGCTTGCAGTCTTTCTTTAATTGTTTTCTTTTCTTCATCTTTCTTATCATCATCATCACATTCATCATCACTGCCTAGTTCAAGTTCATCATGTACCGTCTGTACGGATGCCCCTGTTACCCATCTAACGAACCAATTTCTAAATGTCGAGGTAATTGGAAGGAAGAAGACAAAATATAAACAAAATTAGTAAAATGAAATTTTTTTTCACAATGAGAAATTTTTTTTGGCGTAGCTTTTGAAGCCAGGTGCTTGATTTGAAACTTATTGATGTATAATGAGATGTAAACTCTCAAAAAGTTAATTTATAAAAATTAATTTACGTGACTTTTATCATCAACAAGCACAAAACAATACGATAAACTTTTTAAACCCCTTCAAAAAGCTTGCATCAAAAAAAAAATATTCTCATTGCGTGATTCATTCACAAAACTAATCTCGATGAAATAATAATTACTTGAGAAGATAAAGTAGAGCAACAGCAGGCACTGTTGAGATATCAGCCCAAATACACGCACAAATCCACACAACAAGGGCAAAGAATGATCTGATAGGTGATTCCCACTCAAAGCAACTCCTAAATTTCGGAATAAATATGAGCAATTATTAAAAATAGAATAAAAAGGGAAAAGTTTTACATAATTTTGAGAGCTACTTCAAGCTTACTAAGCTATTTTTTTTGTTCTTTCATAATTATTCTAGTATGTATGAGTTTAGAGAATGTTATGAGAGCAGAATTGTGAAAGGGGCTCAGTGTATGACTTTTGCAACCATCTTTTTTTTTTAAATTTGAGGTTATGTAGATGAATTCTTTAAATTTCTCTAGTTTTGTGTCCAAATAAAGATGTCTAGAGCAGTGATGGGCTATCCGTGTGCCGAGACACACAATCACTATACGAATTCGGTCATGGCTTACCATAAAGTCTGCCGTGTTACAAAAAAGGTTGGGCACCACTGGTCTAGAGCTTAAATTAGTCTTTGTTGAGCTTTTATCAGTTCAGTTGAGCTAGTTTAAATTGATGCTGGGTTATAAGTCCAAAGATTATAAGTCCAGAAAATCAAAGTCACTAAAGGTTCATAAGTCCAGATACAAATTGTACATGGACTTAAAAATCTCTCATGCAGTTTATAATTCCAGCTGTATTTGCACTTGGACTTATGAACTGCACGTGAGGATTTTAAGTCCAAGTACAATTTATGTCTGGACTTATGAACCTTTAATGACTTTGATCTGGACTCTGGATTCTGGATTTATAATTTTCTATGCACGATTTTTGTATCTAGTTGTATCAATTTAGTATCAAAAAAGCTCAAAATGACTACAAAACTTCTTCCACAATTCCATCTCATTCCTTCATTTCCCATTTTTACTCATTATCCCTCCAATTTACATAATTCATCCAGCAACAACTTACTGTACAAATTGTCCCACGTCAATGAAAAACACGATGAGCTCCTTGAGACGCGTAACATTCCTAAGGAACAATTGTCGCTTAAATTTTGCCTCTTGCTGTACAAGTTTCTCTTCCTTTGGCTCAAGCACGCGAATTGCCGCTTTAATTGGATTCCAAATCACAGTCAGCTCTAATTGAATTTGCGGGGATATGCCTTTGGCTCTCGTTGTTAAATTCTTATCTTTAAGTGCATACCATCGCTTCTCGCCATTCCTTATACGTAATAATGGTATCAAGACACGTCCTAAAAATTCAACTTTATGATCGCGGTCTTCGTCGAAAACAGTTACGTCTAGTACGGATGAGATGTCTTTGACATTGCTTTGGGATGATAATTTAAATGGGAAGATAAGAAGAAAGTATTGTTAATGGAATTGGATGTGGGCAGTTTTGTCAAATTTAGGAACTGATGTGATGTTTTCAGTCCACGACATTTTCATGAAATCCAACAAAACCACTCACAATAATCCACAAATACTCACAATGTAAAAATCTTATTCCAATTTGGTGTTAACGTTTTGTACTCAGTCTGTGTTTGCAATCGACTATTCACCAGCTCAAGTACACAAAATGGATCTGATTTTCCACCAATATCAGCTGATGCTAATCCCGTCGCGCCATAAACTTTCACCGTGAGATGTCCGACATCGCGGAGATTTTGATAAAATCTATGGAGTGCCTAGATCAATATAAACATTGAGTTCAATCATGCTGATTGGTGACAATTAAGATAAATATTTACATATTTTGTATTGAGTCCTCTCATTTCATTTGTATTTTCGCGATGTGTCGTCAAGTCACTAATTGTCTCTGCAGCCGTAGTTCCGCTTATTGTGAGTAATAAAAATATTTCACCAATACAGTCTTCAAATTTATTCCATAAATGTTGCGTTGTTTCACGTGGAAGACTTCTTAGGTCAATAAAGCATTTTCCTAAATTTGCGCTTTTTGTACATACGACGACTTCGAGCAATTGATCCTCTTCGAATAAATGAAGATCAAATTGCTCTAGCCATTTGGCTCGTGGCGATGTTTTACTTTTGTATTTCTCATTGCCGAGTCTGGTTTTTGGGAATGAAAAAGAAAAAAAAATAATGTTTTTGTTAAATGAAAGCTAATAAAAAAAATCATTTTTGTTGGCAAATTAAATCAAGGTTAGAGCTAAATTGGTAATTTATTCACGGTGGATGCGTAATTAATAGAGTTGGTAGAGTTTGTGGAATGAGAATTAATTTTTATCGTTGGGTCTTTTACAAATTATGAGCATCTAAGGCTACCGATGCATATCAACCTAACCTAGAATCTAAAATCGACTTATTACACTTAAGGGTACGAACAACTGTTATTGGAAAAGGTTCTAGTAAGCTCTGAAATCCGGTTCCAGCTTTTAAAAAATCCTATTAGACCAGTGGTGTCCAACCTTTTTTGTACTACGGCACACCTTGATGATATTCATACGGGAAACGGTTCGTAGGATTTTCTGAATTTTCAAGGCACAAGGATTGAACTGTATTAGACTGATAAAGTTTTTAGAAAGATTATGCTCGAAATGGGAAATTAAGTCTCTTGGTATGCTGCAGTGATGACCAACCTTTTTCGCGTCACGACAAACCTTACTGGTAAGCTATGACTGAATACAGTTCGTGGGATTTCCCGATTTTTTTCGCTGCAGCACTAGTGTGTCGCGGCACATGGGTTGACCATCACTGCTCCTCTGGAACAATATTTGACAACGACCCCCAACACACAAATTCTTAATTTTCATCACAAACCTACCAACTCTATCTAATTGACACTAGAACAAAAATTTACCTAAACTTAACAAACATCTCCTCCGTGCTATCAATTGCAGGCAGTCCCTTTGCTTCCACCAACAATATCGTCACAACCGAGCTCCATATTTGAGACTTTAAACGTCTCGAGGCGTCTGCTAACTTTGGATTGCGCTGGAAATACTGAAAATATGACAAAGAAGATTGCTAAAATGATCAGAAGAAAAAAAAAAAACAAAAAAGAGAAGTGAAATTTTTTGTAGATTTTTTCTATGCTTTCTTCATTCATTTGTTACGAAACTCAACTGAAATGGAACGTAACTGCTTATTGTACTTTTTTTCAAGCTTCTCAAGATTTTTTTCAAGATTCATTCAGATGCGATTTCACTACGCAAAATTAAATTAGAAAAAAAATATAAAAATAAATAACTTTGGAACTTTTTTCGTGTGCAGTTTAACTTTTGTGTGATGTTGCCGATTCACTAAAAGTGCTAACATAAACTGCCCATAACAACCGAATTTAATACTAAGGTTAGAAAAAAATAATACTCTAGCAATGAATTAACTTGTCTGTAGTCTCTTGTTTTCTGTTGAAATGAGAATGACTTAATACATTGTACTGAGATGAGTGTATTCTGAATTTATAGCTTGTTATGGGAGTGGGAATTGGAGTGTTTGTGATTTGTCGGTGTGGCTGTACGCATGGTATTTTTGTGGATTGTTTTGTTGCAGTTTTGAAGGTCAATTCTAGTGTAAATTTAAAGTTTTAAGGGTTTGTTGAATCTATTTAGTTCCTATTGGATCAAGTTGAGTCGAGTAGGCTCAAGCTAAGTCGAGTATTGTCTAGTTAAGTCGAGTAGGGTTCAGTTAACTCGAGTAGGGTATAGTAAAGTCGAGTAGGATCTAGTTAAGTCGAGGAGGATCTAATTAAGTTGAGTAGGGTCTAGTTGGTTTTAGTTGAGTCTTTCTGGATCTGATTGGATCTAGTTGGTTTTTGTTGGGTCTTGTTGAGCCTATCTTGTTCGATTAAGTGAATAAAGTTGGGTCTAGATTTGTCGAATTGGGTCAAATTGAGTTTTTTAGGTGCTAGTTGGATCTAACGCCTTTTCGCAAAAATCTAAAGTTTCAACTTAATATTATAAATATTGTAAAAACTGCGCTTACATCCCTGCATCCAAAAAAATTGCTCAAACTAATTGTTACAGTCTGTAATTAAGCACAAACACTAGGAAACAAGCCGTATGATTCACTCTCTCTTTCTCAACAAACTTGTGTAGCTTTTAATCTGTTGAAATAATAACCAGTGTACGTATTGTTGATGTTTGGGTATTGTTATTTCACATATGATTCTTTATTTTCATTTTGAGAATATGCCAAATATTTTTCTTCTCTGTCGCTTTACTGCAGACTGAGCAACGTTTCATGTTATAATTTTTTTTTCATACTTAACATGTATGCTTACGACCTTGAGGTTGGTAAATGTTGTAAATTGGAATGGATTTTTTTTTTGGGCAACAAAAAATAGAGAAATAAGTTTGAAAATATATGAGGCATAAGGTATATGAGGGAGGGTATTCAACATAATGTTTTATTGCTAAAAATGAAATAGGAAGGAATTTTTTATGTGCGATGTCATTAAATTAAATAGGTCGACACTAAACATGTAATCTATGGGGAGTAAATGGCTTTTACTAAGGGGTTGGGGACTTTATGTATGGAAGTTGCAAGAAACACACAGAAAGTGATTTCTAAATTAATGACAATTTTAAATTTTATTTTTTTGAAACTTCAAAAAAATTCGAATTTAAATTTAAAAAAAACATTTTTAAAAACAAATTAAATTTCAATCAATTTAAAATTATTTTCAAAAATAAATTAAAAACCAAAATAGCTTTTTATGATTAAAACTTTTTCATTAGGTTCTTTAAATATTCATCAACAGTGCTCCACCCTTAAAAATTGTATATCATTTTGACATTATTCCTGCCCATACTTTAATAACTCCTCATTTCACTTCAGTGACACAAGTCAAAGGAATTTTTAATAACCATAAATTGTAGTCAACATCATCACATGAAAGCTGTTAATTAAATGCCATTCGAAGTAAGTAAAACTTTGTCATTGATGCTGGCAATTTGTTCATATTTACAGCAAAAAAAAAACTTACAAACGTCGATTAAATGACAAAAAAGGTAATAAAAAGGTAGAAGGAAAATCGACGAATGTGTTTTTATTTGTGTACATCCTCATTCCTCTCTCGTTCATTGGCTTTAAGTATATGTGTGTCGTTTTATTAAGAAATGAGGTCAACAGTCAAGCTCACGGCTGTTCGTGACTCCTTATACAAAAAAAAAAAAAGAAAATAAATGAAGGCGAAAAAAAGAGCTTTCCGATGTTTGTGTCTACCTCGGAAACATTGTTGAATATTGTTGAATTCCCACCCACTTTTTTTATGCTTCTACGATGCTCATATAATGTCATATATTATTTATATCGTTTTTTTTCGCTTCCACTAAAGAGCGAGAATTACTTGAAGGAAGTTGAATGGAGAATTGTGTCTTAAAATTTTTAAAAACATTGTGAAAATGTTTTTCTATTTTTTTTAAAATTTAATTTCACATTTTTGTAAAACATTTGAAATAATATTTTTTTAAAAAAATTATGAAATTTATTTTAAATTTTACATTATTTTGTATGTTTTCTTCAAAATTTAAATTTTTTTTTTTAAAATTCAAACTTTATCATTTGATTTTTAAACTTTTGATGTTTTTAAAATATGAATCTTTTCAAATTTTGAATTTATTAAAACTTTGATGTTTTTAAAATATTGAATTTTTAAAATTTTGATTTTTTTTTTGAAAATTTTAAATCTCTTTTGACAACTTTTAATTTAAAAAACATTAAAAAATTTAATACCAAATTGAAACTTTCTAGCCTTTTCAACTTAACTTTTCACAAGTTCCTCCATGTTTGTTTTTTAGACAAAAACTATTGAAATGATGACACCATATCGCACATCAACTGCTCAAATTTATTTTTATGTATGAATGATTTTTTCCCCAAACCCAATTTTTTGTACTTTATGTTCATATATCAATAAAGTATAACATGTCATGTGTGTGTACATATAATAAATATAAACGAAAAATACGAAAATCATTATTCTGCTAACATTGTATCGTCATGTATATAGACAAGTATAAAGTTAAAAGAAGAATAAGAGTGTAAATTAATTATGCATGAGATGTGTGTACCGAAAAAAGAAATGTCAGAGACGAAAAAAGGATGCACGAAAGTTACATAAAAAGAAGAAAATAAAATAAAAGTCAAGTCAACTTGATTGGTCCTTCAATTAACTCAAAGTCATAAACAGAAAAGAAAGAAGAAACTGAAAAACTTTTTAATCAAAAACTTATTTTTTTTTATGATCGACTTTTTGATGATGGAATTTTGATCGCAAGTTGGGTGATGATGCTGAATTTTGAAAAGGAGACGACGTATTTTTAAGATGAAACGAAAGATGGAAGCATTCTTATGTGCTGTAGATTAGAGCAATCGATAAGTTTCAGTAAGTTTCGAACTTAGATTAATGAATTTTCAACTAAGTTTGTCAATTTCTGTTTAGGTTAATTTTGAACAACTTTAGGTCCAATCCTTAACTTTCAGCTTCATCAAAAACACGTCATTATAATTTAATTCGAATCCGCACAATTTTTCATTTCAGTCGTGTCAGAGAAAAAATCTACAAAAAAAGTCAATTGTGTTCCACATGCTCTTAACAACATGCTTATATCCTTTCTCTTTTTAAGAATTTTTATATTTCTTTAAATTCCATTTTTACATACCTGCTCCTTATCTTCTTGTGTTTTTGGCATAAGTGTTACTATAATCTTGATATCGCCCAAATCCTTAATCGGTCGTGCGGGATCCGTTAACTTTAAGTAAATTTCCTCCGACTGATTCAATTCCAATTGCGTAAGATTTAATCTCGTTGCACCCATAAAATCGTCCTGTAACCCCCAATCGTAATCGAAGACCTGCGTGTGATAAAAATACAAAAAATTTTTTATTTTCATTGCTCTTTTTGGGACACGATTGAGCGTAGAACAAATATTTATATTGATCCCCTATCTAATCTCATTTTAAGTCATCTATTTTTCATCATAATATTTTTGTTGTAGGCTGAATGGAGTCGGTAATTTACACTAATGATCGGATTATTTAACAAACGTGATTTCATGTCTCATGTTTATCATGAATTTTTAAGGAGTCGCCGGGAGATTAATGTAAGTTGTTTTGATTTATGAACTGAGAGGAAATTTAGGTACAATATTCATGTTCGGAGATTCTTTTTGTTCATTTAAGGGGAAAATTTTGAGGTTATTTTGGGTCACTTTTAATTTTTTTTTGAGGAAATATCGAAAATTTTGAGGTTATGTTTATGAATTTAATGGAAAATGGAAATTTTGAGGTAAACTTAGTGTGAAATTTAAACTTTATATCAAAAATTGAGGTTATGTTAATCATTTGAGGTTATATTAAAATTTTTAAGGTTATGTTCCAATTTTTGAGATTAAGCTCGAATTCTTGAGGTTATGTTCAAATTTTTTAGGTTATGTTCAAAATTTTGAGGTTCTGTTCAAATTTTTGAGGTTATGTTCAATCTTTTGAGGTTATGTTCAAAATTTTGAGCTTATGTTCAAACTTTTAAGGTCATGTTCAAATTTTTGAGGTTATATTCAAAAACTTGAGGTTATGTTCAATCTTTTGAGGTTATGTTCAAAATTTTAAGATTATGTTCAAATTTTTTAGGTTATATTCAAATTTGAGATAATGTTCAATTTTTTTTGAGGTTATGTTCAAATTTTTGAGGTTATGTTCAAATTTTTGAGATTATGTTCAATTTTTTTAAGGTTATTCACTCCCCAACCTAGTTATTAGCTTCTACTCACCTTAATATTTATTGGCTGAAAAGGATCCTCAATCGGCACCGTAAACACCTCATCAAAGGTCGGATTTAAGTCTTTGTGCACTGTTTTTGATTTATATAACAATCGACTGCCTAACTTAAATTTAACATAAGGATCACTAGTTCCACTTTTATCCATAGCTATTAAATTACGTCCACTAATTAAATGCACTTTTAGTTGAAAAAATGAATGTTGTCTTAGAAGTGCTTCACGTTTTCTCTGTACATCGTCGATCTGGTGCTGGTGGGATTGAGCGCAAATGGACGAGAATAAATTAACATTTAGCATCAATATTAGCTTCGTAATCATCAACCAAATCACGTTTTTATGATACTTACATTTATCACATCGTATTGTTGATTGGGAATGTAACCACTCGTTGATGGCTCACATTCGATTTTAGCTGTTGTGGAGGTGAATCTATTTGTAGAAAAGTCATTTTTTTCTCTAGTACTATTATTGTTATTAATATTTGTATAATGCTCGTTGTTTCTTGGTCTAGCTAATGGAGAATCTGTTAACGTCGTGGCTCTGTGTCTTGGCGATTCAAATGGTGTAACGGAACTACTATGTTCACTGCTATTGTCGGCAGCATAATCACTATTGTCTCGATCATCGTCAATATGACATGGACCAGGCGATTTTCGTCCACGCTCTTTGCTACGTCCTCTTGACCAACGATTCTGTGAATAAAAATATTAAACTGTATTATTTTATGTATAGAAAGAAGATTCGTATAAAAAGTTGAAGCTTTTAAGAGGATTTATGGTTTAAAAATTGTGGATTATCATGTTGAGGATGTCTATCATTGTGTTATGATGAGCTTATACGTCAGTCTGTCTACGCACAACTCAGTTAATGCATATTGTCTGTCATTGTTTCCGCTTTTATGTTAAATATAATTCTCTATGAACATGTGACTAGATTTTTGTGAATCAGACAGTACTTAAGGATGAATTTGATAGTTCATGGTTGGCGCAAGCTTTGAATTTGTAAAGTTTAGTGAAAGTCAAGCTGAGTGTTTGTCAAGCTGAGCGTTAGTCAAGCTGAGCGTTAGTCAAGCTGCGCGTTAGTCAAGCTGAGCGTTAGTCAAGCTGAGCGTGAGTCAAGCTGAGCATTAATCAAGCTAAGTATTAATCAAGCTGAGCATTAATCGAGCTGAGCATTAGTTAAGCTGAGCATCTGTCAAGCTGAGCGTGAGTCAAGCTGAGCGTTAGTCAAGCTGATTGTTAGTCATACTGGGCGTCAGCTTAACGTTCACTTTTTTCACCATTGATGTATACAATATTTCTAGCTGTACCTTCCAAGTATTTCAATTCCTACAACATCCCACTGTAGAAAGCTTCGATTTACATATTCTCGGAAAGAAATTCTCACCTTTAGTGTACTTAGAAATCCCGATGTGCGTTGTAAAACAGTTGTGACATTCGGATTGGCAGCACTTTTTGCACGTTGCGGAGATGGAAATGGTGTTGTGATTGTATCGCTCGCCTGACTCCCTGTACATTCTTTACAACTTAATTCAGATGCTGATTTACTCAAATGCTTCCTTAATGACGAACAACGTGATTCTAAACTCAATTTTGCTTTTTCTGAAATGAAAAAAAGAATTTCTTTTGTGAGTATTTTAGGACAAATGTTTTATTTATTTATAAAAATAGAATTTATGTGAAAGAATGAAGCCATCACTTCACGTAGAGCGCAAAGCAAATTATGAGAAATGAAAAGGAAGAAATTTTATTTCCTTATTCAAACAATTTCTTGCTTATTTATTTATTTACTCTCAATCGGTGCCAACGAGAAGAAAAGATTGAAAGAAGGTCTGGAAAATGATAACATATAAAAAGCTTTTGTCAATATGCTTTGAAAATAATTTGAGAAGATGCAATCATTTATTATGTTATGTAGGTTAAGATAAGATAGAAAGAAAGGAATTAGAGATTTATACGAAGAAAATTAAAATAATATTTTTGTGAGCTAGTGAAAATTATTGATTCGGTTCAATTTTATTGATCCAGTTCAAATTATTGATCCAGTTCAAATTATTGATCCGGTTCAAGTTGTTGGGCCGGTTCAAATTATTAATTTGGTTCAAACTATTAATTCGGTTCAAATTGTTGATCCAGTTCAAATTATTGATCCGGTTCAAGTTGTTGAGCCGGTTCCAATTATTGATCCGGTTCAAATTATTGATCCGGTTCAAATTATCGATCCGGTTCAAATTATTGATCCGGTTCATATAATTGATCTAGTTTAAATTATTCATCCGAATCAAATTATAAAACTAGTTCAATTTTTTAAAACCGGTTCAATTTTATTAAACTTATTCAAATAAGTGATCCTACTCGAATCGGTTCAAATCGATTAAATCTATCAAATGGAGTAGATTAATGTTATTCTAAATATGCACAAAGCAAGCACATATTCCCTATCAGTTCTATATTTACACTCCAAACAAATTATCAGTTTAAATCCTCCCATCGTCCCTTAATGTTCATAATATGATGACAAATCGCCTTTTATTTCATATGTGCAAAACTTAAATCTATGCCAATGAAACTGATTCCTCGTTTGACTTCAAATTACAGAAAAGCTTAAAAGAGCTTCACTTGCTTATTCATTCAATTCACCCCATTTTTAACTTTCCTTCTCTATTGAAAGAATATTTTCCATTTCATATAATACATGTGCAGCATAAATGGCATTTATGAGCTCTCTTTTGTTAGCATATACAAAAATAGAAGAATAAAGAGACAGAGACGAGGAGAATCTGTTATGGATATAAGAAGAAAGTCAACATCAAAATGAGCACATTCATGAGCACGATAAAAATGAAATTTTCATTTAGCTTTTCTTCTTATTTTATTCTAATTTTTTATTAAGAAATCAAAAAACATGAAATTTATTTTAACACTAAAAACCACATCAAAATAAGAATTTTTGGTTTAAATTTACATAATATTGACTCAGATACAAAAGAAGTTTCAGACCAAAAGGATCCGCAAATGCTTTTATTAGAATTACTAATTTTTATTACTTTCCATTTTGTTTGCTCCCAAAAACTTTTTCTAAAGTTAAAAATAAACATTTTTAATACCATAATCGATGAGAATGTGAAATAATATTTTTCTAGCTTGGAAAACTTACTTCTAAGTTGTTTTAGGATTGAAGTAAAGTTTTTTATTGGATTTTTGAAATTAAAGAAAAGTTACTTTAACATTAAAAACTATCGTCGCTTTAAATTTGACAAAAAATTAAGTCGTTGCTTCAAATTTCAGTTCAAAACATGGACAAATTAAAGTTTAATGAGTCGTTGCTTTTGATTCTTTTCAATTGAGTCGTCGCTTTAAATTTAATTTCAAAACTAAATCGTCGCTTTATCATTGAATTTAAAAAATAGGAAATCACTTTAAGTTTGAGCTAAATGTCGGTAAGTCGTAGCTTTACATTTGAATTAAATACAAGTCATCGCTTTAAAATTGACTTACAAAATAAGTCATCACTTCAAGTTTGACTTAAAAATTAAGTCATCGCTATAAGAATGACTCGAAAATCAAATCATTGCTCTCATTGACTTAAAAGTTAAGTCGTTGCTTTAAAATTGATTTCAAAATTAAGTCATCGGTTTCAGGTTGACACACAAAAATTAAATTCTTGCTTTAAAGTAAGTCATCGCTTTAAATTTGACTCAAAGAGCAAGTAGTTGCCTTAAGATTGATTCAAAAATATTATTCAAATTAATGTCCTTGCTTAAGAACCTTCAAATGAACTCGATGTTAAATCTTTTGCTTGCTTCTGACCTATAACTTGCCCAAAACATACTCCCACCTCCAACTTTGATCTAAAACAACATCAAACCTAATAAACATCTCTCATAATTTCCGTGAGAAAATCCCTGCTCAAAACTTTCTCACTCAATCGAAACTTATTTTTGCCTTTCTCAAATCCCTCCCACCCCATTCACTTCCCTAAACTTACATCAAAGAACATGGGCTTTTGGAAAATATATTATTCACATAAAAATGAACACAACATCATCCCAATAAGGTCAGCTGTATAAAATTTCAAACAATTTTTTTTCCCTTTTTTGATGCCCATCAAACTTCACACATTGTGTGCAAGGCTCACAATCGACATAAACAAACATTATTTGATGGAGCTGTGGATGAAAAGTTTTCTCGATCGGAAATTCGAAGCTTTTGCTCTGAACATACACGTTATATTGAAAAGGTAGGTGTCATGAGTTAGAAATTTTTTGTGGGTAAAGAATTTAAAATTTGACATATTTTAACCTTTTCTGTCTTGAAAATAAATTTAGATATGTACAAAAATCCCAGGAAGGGCTTCACAAACCTGTTTGAGATGCGGTAAAATTTTTAAATTTCCTTCTTATCAATATTGTGAGATAAATGCCAATAACTGTCAATATTTCGTACATGACATTATTAATTCTTATTGCCATACTCAACAAACATCTCATTTACTGGAATCTACGTTTGCCGATTCCTTTAATGGCGCTTGTTTTCATGTTCATTGTAATTCTTTAAGTGCTTATAAAAAAAAATTTTTCGGGGATTTTTTTATGATCCTCGCCAATGGCTCTAGAACTTTTTTTTTTCTTCTATTGCTCATGAAAAGTGAGGAACTTTAATGTCTTTTTTTGTGTTTGTGTCTTTCCTTCTTGTTGGCTAATAGAAATTGATGTTGTTTCGAGTCATTAAGGAAGGGACGAATTACCTTTTTCCGACTAAAGTTTTAATTGTTTTGAGGCTCAGGGGTGGAATCAGTGGCTTAGGATCAGCCAGGAATTATTCATGAAGGGGAGAAGGGGGTTGTCGAGAGTTCTAAAAGATTATTTTCGTTCAGGTAGAAGTTATGATAAATACTTTAGGAATAGGTGTAAGTACACACTTGGTGACCCGTTCCTGGATAGCTATACGGGTTAAAATTTAAAAATGTCGTTAAAATTTTAAATTTCAAATGTCGTTAAATTGACAATTTTAAATGTAATTAAATTTTAAAATTTTAAAATGTCATTAAATCTCAAATTACCGTTAATTTTAAAATTTTGAAATTCAAATCCTAAGAAGACGTTATATTTTTAAATTTGAAAAAATCTTCCACATCTATCTTTACGATCCACAAGCCACTTAGTGGTTATCCAATCCCTTTTAAAATTCAACTCCATCCAAAATAAATTTCTTTCTTAACCAAACATCTTCTATAATCCACCACAAATCCCCTTCCTTATTTACCAACAACCAACACTGTCAACAAGAAAATACAATCCACTAAATTATCTCATGCTGATTTAATAAAAATGAATTAAATCCCCTAAATGGTCATTTCACAATCGTTTCATTTCAAAAACGCAAAAAACGACACGATTGTATAAATTTCTCATAAACTGTTTGCATTTTTATGTGAAACCGCAGGAAAGCGAGAAAATTGAATAAGAATTTATGAGAACGAATTTTTCAATGTGCTCGTAAAGCTTGTGAAAAGCTCTTCATCGCTTATGAAAATTAAATATTAAATCCCTTCAATCTTCTTCTCGTGTTTTGATTGCTCTGAATACTTTATGCTTTGTGATTATAAGAAAGGTAGCTAATGGAAAAGGGATGGCAACTTAAAATTAAAAAAACTGTCAATTTTTTAAAAACCAGTAAAATTGAAATTTGGAAAAATATAACTTTTGATTAATTTAAATTTTTAAAAGTCGTTATAATTTGAATTTTTGACAACTATTATAATTTGAATTTTACAAAGTTATTAAAAATTTGAATTTTTAAACATCGTTAAAATTTGGATTCTTGATAAATGCTAAAATTTCAATTTTACAAGGTCGTAAAATTCAAAATTTTAAAAACCGTTAAAAAATTGAAATTTCAAGAACTTTTAAATTTAAATTATACAAGGACATAAAAATTCAAATTTGCTGAAACAATCAAAATTTGAATTCTTACAAATCATTAAAATTTGAATGTTATAAAGTCGTTATAATATCAAATTTTAAAAGCCCTAGTAATTTTAATTCTTGAAATCCGTTAAATTTTGAATTTTACAAAGTCGTTAAAAATTTGAATTTTTTTAAAAATCAATATAATTTTCAATAGCTATTCAATTATCTTAAAAACCCTCTTTTCAACTAATAAATTCTTATACAGTATGACAAAAATGAAAAGAAAACTTACTCGCTGATGATGAGTGGTGAAATGATGACGAGCTTTCGGCCATATCAACAGGTGGATAAAACTATGAGTGTATTTGTTCTCTCGTTTCCTTTTATGATGACAATTATATGTATTTGTGACTTTATTTCTCATTTGACAGGTATTCTTAACATATTCATTATTGTATTTTAGTTTCTACGTTGCTATCTTCTTCTTTTGATATTCCTTCACTTTATATTATTTTTTTGTTGCTATTTTGTGCTTTTCCTGTTGAACATATGGAAGGTAAGTTTTGGTCATTTTTTAAAGGATTTTAGTTTTTAAATGGTTGAAGATCTGTGCAAAAATTCTTTTGTTTTAATTCTTTAATTTATTTATTTTTAAAAATTGAGTCATAAAGCTTTAAAAATTATTCCTCATTTTTAATTATATTTCCCATTGAATGTTCTTTTGTATTTTTAAAAAATATCAGTCCAGTGTTGTATTTAATATTCATTAAAAATTCTGAAATTCATACTTAGTGCTGATTATTATCTTATTTGCGGCATAATTACATATTTTATACACATTCCTTTTTACACAATAATTATGAAAGTCTAAATTACAGTTTACCATTTTAATGGATATATGGAATAATATGTCAAGTTGATAAGGACATGACAGTGAAATATTCAAGTCGAACCGTTTTAATTTGCTCTTAAAAAAGTCAATAATTATGTAAGTTTAAAGATAAGTTTCTGTCAAGCTAAGTTTTTGAACCCAGATCCCTTCGTTCATCCTACAAGGACTCACTAGGGTCCTTAAACCTTTCGCTTCTCCTTTGCGCTTACTGATTCTTGCTGATACTGAATTTTTTTACAGCGAAAATAATTTACACTGAAGATTTTGTCGAAAATTTGTCAACTTACAAAACTGAATGCTATGATTTAAACTTTAAACACAAATTATAATTTGAGCTGTACAAGTCTCAATAATTGTGTCATTGAAAAGCCAAATTGAGTTCAGTTTAAATTTAGATTCAATCAGAGTTGCGAAACAGGTCGTTTGTCACAGGATCAGTCGAAAGATCTGTCAAATTTGCCTACCGATATATCAAATCTGTGACAGATCTGTGCTTGTGACAGGAAAAAAAGATATTGCCTTTCACAGGAGCTGTCAGTTAACAGGTACGTGGCAGGTGATTGCTTGTGACAGATTGCAAATCTGGATTCAATTTTCTTTCTTTATATCAATCAGGCGTGCAATATTGCACTACATCTGCTAACATAATTGCCTTCCCAGTTCTATTTTTAGAGACATACGATTTTTAATAACTCTATTCAAGCCACATCATTCTCATTCTTTGACCTTTAACTCCCATCAACATCCAATCATCCTCCTTAAACAAATTAAAAGCCAAATAACCTCTTTTGACATCCAAGAACTTCTCCTGTTCATCATGAATACTTCAAATTCAAAACATATCATGTTCAACTATCACCTCAATCTTTATTATCTTCTCATGTACCTCAAAAGCTATAAAATTCATGTCAATTGAATAACACAATGTCGTCAATATTAAATTGATCTTTTCATTCGATAAAGGATTTAAATCGCAATAAAAGTTCTCGTACTTTTTCTTGGAAGATTGATTATTTTTTTTTTTTTTTTTTTTTTTTTTTTTACAATACCAGGACAAATTTATTTTATTTTATTTTAAATTTTAAATATGCTCTTCTCTCCATTTAAGAAGGAAAAAGCCTCCTCAAACAGTACTTAAACTGTTTGAAGAGGCATAAAAAACCTTCAGAAGAGAAAGAGTATTAATTACATGACTTAAATTACATTGTACTGAATACATGAATAATAAAAATTAATAGAAATTGACAAGTAAAATTAAAATTGCAAGAGATCAATGAAACTTAAGTTTCCTTAAAGATCTCTTGTTAAAAATGTTATGAAACAAATAGAAAAAGCTATTGATTAAACAATTTTTTAAAATGATAACAAGTTAAATAGCAGAAAAGCGGTTGCAAAATATTTTGAATTCAGTGAGAGAATTGTGTCAAACACGAAGATTGGGAATCCAGCTTTTGATTTTATCAACGTCGCAGATGTCATTTATAATTAGATTTGTGTCGTTATCCTTTTTAACATGGACTTGGTCACCACTCAAGAAGACTCTGAAGTTTTTTTCCTTTGCAACTTCTCTTGCTTTATACATCAAAAAGCGATTCAGTGGAGTAAGACAATTGTCGAAATAAATTTTACTGCCTATAGCGGTTTTTCTTGCTTTTAGAACTTTCAATTTGGTATCTAGATTCTTAAATTCGACTACCACAACAGGTGTTTGCAGGACTGGTTGGTTTCTAGTACGTTGAAATGTTTGAATTAATTCATGATCTTTGACTGTTACACCGAATGACTCAATTAATTCCTTTATTTTTGTCGTTAAGTCATCACCTTTGAGAGTAACATCTATATTCGAGCCTGAGATTTCCATTCTTTTTTGTAGCAAGTTCTGTGAAATCATGTTTAAAGCTGTTTTGTTCTTATACGCCAACTTAAGTGATTCGTCTGCTTTTGCATTTGCTTGCTGTATTTTTGTTTCCATTCCATCAATTCTTTGCTGCATATGTGATAGCAATAGTTGAATTTCTGATATTTTTGTGCCAAGTTCATTTTTTAGGGAATTTATTCCTTGTTTGTTCTCTGCTCTCATCTTCTCGATAAGTTGAAATATTTCAAAGTTGCTCACTTCCTTATTCTCTTTGTCATCTTTTGACATATCTAGATTATTCCTTTTCGGAAGCGGTTGTTGATGTTTGGATGGCATGGATGTAACGAATGAATGTACTGACTCCCACTAAATACAGTTTGAGCTGGAAATAAAAAATCGGAAAACCGACAACAGAAAGAAGGTTCAGGCTTTATTAAAAGGCACTCACCGTGCAAGCACTTGACTGCTGGTAATCAAGTACACAACAGCCAGAACCAAGACCCAGTGGGAGTCAGATGGAGTAGAGATGATGAATATCCAGCTTTAAGCTTTGATTTTGACAATTAATCTGAATTAATGTTGTTTGACGACGGAATGATACAACAAATATGCACTAATTGAAAATACTAAGAGGTCTAGAGCTTTTGTAATTACTTAAAGATTTAATTATATTTTAGCTATAAAATCGATCTTCTGCTTTAAATAACTTGAAATAACTCATCAATAACTTGAAATAACTCATCATTATGCTTTATTGGATTGGAAATGCATGAGGAATTTAGCTTAAAGTGGTAAGTAAGTGAGTTTGATTTGAATTTATTGTGCTGTATAATTCTTTTTAGAAATTTAATGCTTGATATTATGAATTTACACTGCTCATAAATCATTAATAATCTTAATCATATTTATGGTTCTCATATTTATTCCCTAGCGAGACTAACTAGCAAATTGCTAGTCTTTCTATTTTACTACTTGCAATTTACTAGTAATTATTAAAACAACTTACTGTTAGAAAATTACACTTGCTATTTACTAGCAAATTACTAGCAAATTACCATGTAAAATGTTTGATTAAATCTTCTTAAGTTCGAATCCTACGAAAAATCATCAAAAAAAGAATTTTTTGCGTCATAAAGAATTTTGTTCTAAATTTGGCATTTGCCATATACTTCACAAGAGCGCGCAGAAATCACCTTTATAAGGTCGATCCAAATTTGTATGTGACATTCAATTAATTATTTATCTTCCTCAGGTTTGCGTGCGAGTCATGGGCGTTCATCAGTGTTCGACTTAATTAAATTAAGTCTTTTGCTTTTAATCATAGTGTTAGTGTACTTTAATTAATTAAACTAAGTACACACTAATACTTTTACAATAATTTACACAAATAAAAAAATCAAAGGAACACGTGGAAATCAACGGTTATATTCATTTAATTTTTTTCCAAATTTGCTAGTAAATTACTAGTTAAATTGCAAGCGAATTGACTAGTCAAATAGCAAGTGAAAATGCGGGTCTTTGGCGATGATTTGAACTTGGATTTTGACTAGTAAATAGCAAGTAGCAAATGGAAAGTTATCTAGTGAATTACTAGGAAATTACTAGTAAATTTCTGCTAGGGATTAGTACCACTAGAAAATTTATGATTACCAGAAGCATAATGTGATCTATGCAACCATGAAGAATATTTATGGAACCTTGAAGATTCCCAAAGAAAAGTAATAAAAAATATCCAATAAAAGTCTCATCAGTGAATTAAATCATTACTTTAGACTTGATAGGCAGGCTTTAAAGTTGGTTTATCTACTGAATAGCTCCAACCGCACCACGTGTCAATGCAAATCCTCATTACACACTAAAGACTAATTACTCACATTCCAACCAACCAATCAACACCCATAACTCAATAATTCTATAAACCAAAATTCATTCAATGAAATATGAAATACAAAACCACTTTATTGATTATCTGATTAATATTCTATGTCATATCAAAATTGACAGATAACAAGCATTAATTAGATCAATTTATTTATCCACCCAACTTACACATGTACTTATTAAATTGATAAAAGAAGTGACGCAATCGCTTTAATAATCGAATCAATTCTGACCACAAAGGAACCTTGAATATAATGAATGAAATGTGTCACATGGGATAAGCATACATGAGGCATTGAGGTAAATAATAAGCACTCAACGGCATGTAAATTTAAATAGAAATTAAATGTCAATTTAAAAGTGCTAATGTGTAGACAATTTGCACAACAATTAAATTTTTTTTTCTATTTTGATCTGCAAAGCCCATCAACTTGAATGACTAGCGATAAAAACTTCCAAAAAAGATTATCTCAAAAATGTCAAAAGTTATCTAACTTTACAAGATAATATGAAGAAAATTCATTCGCAGTTTAATGCATATTATTTTATTTTTGTGTGCCATATAAAAGTTTATTTGAGATAGAACTTTATTCTCTCATGGAAATCATAAAAAGTAATGTTCAGGTAGTTTGCTGCTTATGCAACTGGCATGAACTTAACATTAAAAAATATTTACACATATGAATAAGATATAAGAAGTTTGACTTTTATTATGATTTTCTTATTACAGGATTTCATGTATTTAAAGTAGCGAAATAGTTTTTACAAAATAACAGTGATGAAGCAACGCTTTCATAATAAAGCAACGCTTCCACAATAAAGCAAAGCTTCCATTATGAAGCAACGCTTTCAATATGAAGCAACGCTTCCATTATGAAGCAACGTTTCCATTATGAAGCAACGCTTC